CTCTCCTGGAGAGCTGATGGAGCACCGGCTGCGGGCGAAGCAGCTGTGCCTTTAAGAATGGCCGGTGTTCACACACCGTTTACAGAGGGCTCCTCAAGCCCCCTTCCCTCCTGGGCGCGTTTACAGCAGGAGACTCGGTTTCCTTCTGTGTAAACCAGGCCTCCCACACGACCCCCCGCCCAGGGCTGTCGCGAGCACCGACTGCAACGGAGGCTCCGGCACCGCTCGGCTTCGCCCAGCGCGGAAACGACTTCCGGCTCCAGGCATCCGCGCGAAACCCAAGCGGCGGGGCCTCGGGGGCGGAGTCGGCGCGGCCCTGCCTTCCGGCGCGCTCGGGGATTGGGCAGCCGGACCTTGCGGCGGGGGCCGCCCCCTCCCGGCCTCCCCACCCCCCCCCCGGCCCCGGGCCCGGGCGTCAGGGCCCCGCCTCCAGGGCCGGCCCCGCCCCGCCCAGGCCCCGCCCCGCCCCGCCCAGGCCCCGCCCGCGGCGCGCGGTCGCCGCGTCCTCTGGCGGCCGGGCTCGTTGGCCCGAAGACCTGGCCTTGCACGTTCGCTCCTGACCGCGAGCCCTGTGGCCTGGTCGCCCCCTGCGCGCAGCTGCGCGGGAGGGGATCCGGTAAGCGTGGGCCTGCGCCCCAAGCGGGCCCGGGCAGGGGTGCGCGAAGCCCTGTGTAAAGCGGGGGTGGGTGTCACACTGGGGAAGCGCTGGGGTTGCGGCCCGTGGTGTGGGGTGCGCCGGAGAGGGAGTCAACCCAGGGCTGTTAGAGGGGGACCTCGGGGCGGGGCACAGGCGGAAAGCCCGGGGCCTGGGCAACCAGGAAGACAAAGTGAACCCAGAGCCTGGGGGTCGGGTGGGAGCCCGTGGGGGCCGCCTGGAAGTACGCGAAAGTAAGGTAAACCGGGGAAGGGGGAAGACAGTGGTCCCAGAGAGGCCTAGGGCAGAGGGGCGCCGGGGAAGGTAGCCAGGTAGGGGCCCAGGGCAGGGTCCTGGGTGATGGACCCGGGAGGGAGGGAGACAAACCCAGGGCCCAAGGCGGGTATGGTGCCCTTGGGGGTGGGAGACTGAGGGTTGGGCAGGTCTCCAGGTATTTCCGAGGCTCCCTCTCCCCCTCATCCACTGTCTTGGCTGACTAGGCCTGCTGCCCCCCACCCACCGATCAGAAGCTACCCAGGCGGGTACTCCAGGTGTCCTGATGCAGCTAGAGTTTGAGACGCACTGGTCTGAAACGTCAGAGCGTTGAGGGGTTTGAAGTGGGGGGTGGGGACCAGCCAGGTATCCCGTGATGACAAGCGCATCATTACATTGAATCTTCACAGCTTTGCGAAGTTGTTGCTCTTGTCCCCATTTAACAGATGAGACACAGAAGTTTCACTTTTCCAAGGACCTGCCTCTAGGAAGGGGAAGAGCTGGGATTCAGACCCTCCGGGCAGGCTCCGGGGCGCCCCTGCTGAGCCAGGTCTCCGGTAAAGTCCAGAGGCACATTGGCCTCACAGCCAGGTAGTGGGCAGCTGAGTGGAGCCGATTCATTCCAGCATTTTGGCTGTCCAGTGAATAGGTAGGACTGGCCCTGTCTCTCGCCTTGGGGTGAGCACTAGTTTGTATGAGGTGCTAGTGACCAGGTCTCAGACCTGATGTCTTGGCACTGGGGTGCCCAGAGGCCCTAGGTTCAAGGCCAGCTTCTCCCTGACTCACTGGGAGGCTCCGCATCAGTGTCCTCCTCAGTCTGACGGGGACAGACTTCCCGGGAGGCATCTGGAAGATCAGTGGTCCCCCTGCCCAGCCCCTCTCACCGCCTGCGCCCGGGGAAGGGGCTCCAAAGCTCGCGGGCTATGCAGGGCCCTCCCGCCACACTCTGACACCTCGGCAGGGTAGCTCTTTGTTGCGGGGCCTGTCCCGGGGCACCGCCTCCAGGTTGTGTCCTCTGGGGGAAAGGCTGGGCGGGAACCCCTGCCTCCCCCCCAGCGTCCCCCCCCCCCGGGGCTACAGGACAGGCTTTTCCTGCGTCCACAGCCTAGCCTCCTGACAGGGGCCGCCCTCACCAGCAGGCCTGTCCTTCAGGGCCTGGTGTATTCGTCTGCACTCATTTCTGTTGATGCAGGTGACATCTGAACACATTCTCCTTCTGACACTCTCCCACGTTCCCAAGGAAGCGGAGTGCCCTTAACCGCCATCCACAGGGGTGTGAGGTCCCTGCTGGTGGGTGACGTCACGGAGGCCCCACGGGGTAGGTGCGAATGCCTGCTGGGTGCTGACCGCGCTGGGCCTCTGATGCACATTTGATGATTTTAGCGGGCATTCCTCAGCGTGCTTCCCTCACCCACGTTTCTCCTGCGTCTCTTCCCTGCGGTCCCCATAGCCCTGCCCTACACCTTGAGACGTGGCCTGTTTCTCAGCATTCAGGGGACCCTTCAGTTTAGCTGGACTGCTGGCCCTTGCCCCCTGGTGCCCTCCTGGTTTCTTGGCATGTTTGGAAACTCATTCGTATTCTGTGTGAATCCCACCTCAGATGAGTGTGTCATCCTGAGGGTTTTACGCATTTTGGGAGGAGAGAAGGAAGCTCTGAGGTTCATGTTTCTCTAATTGCCTAGCTTTTGTAAACACTTTTGGGCCTCTTTTTTAAAAACGTTTATTTATTTTTAGAGAGAGAGAGAGAGAGAGCAAGAGCAAGACTGGGAGGGGCGGAGATGAAGGGAGACAGAGTCTGAAGCAGCCTCCGGGCTCCCAGCCATCAGCACAGAGCCCGATGCGGGGCTGCAACTCACACCTGTGAGATCGTGACCTGAGCCAAAGTTGGGCGCTCAACCGACTGAGCCCCCCCAGGTGCCCCTTTGGGCCTCTTTCTAATTGGTTATCTTGTCTGATCTGTGCCCTTCAACTGGTGAGGTTTCCCACTCCTTCCTGCTCACGTGCGTGGGTCTTCATGAAGCGATGGCTGTTGTGGTCAAGTTGACAAAGAGCCCGGCTGACTAAAGTCCACAAAGGAAGGATTCTCGAGTAGGCTGTACCTCTCTCATCCTTTGTTGACTTTAACTAGTGGCTGGTTTTGTCTGCTGTCTTATTTTATTCGTTATTGGCTTCATACATTTCGTATTAGGCTAACTTCTCTGTTTTGATATCATAATGGACTCATGGTCCTTTGCACATTCAACCTGTGAAGTGGTACCTATGCTATGTTGTTATTAGATGCTGAAGTTGTCGCTGATCGTCAGTGGTGGTTGGTTTACAGTTTTGTTCCTTTGTCGTTTTAGTCCCTCCTCCGACACCTTTGAAAGCATCTTATTTCCTAGCAACCACAGAACGTTCCCGAGCCGTCTTGATTTTCCTCCTGCCCCAAGTTATTATGGGATTCATTGTCCTCCAGGAGTCCTGTTCTGAGTCTAATATTAGAGATGAAGATCTGAGGGCCCGAGATACACGGGGGCACGCCCCAGGCTAGGGGGAAGTCTTGTTGCTTTGACTACCTTTAGAAGTGTCAGAGCCAGAAAAATACATCTTGTTTGAAGGTTAGAGTTCACGTGGACTTCAGTGTTTGGATGCTATGGACCCAACCATCCTTGAAGTACATAGTGTCACGGCAGCTAAGATGTCTCGCCCGCATTGGCAGTCCTCAGCTCACCCCCAGAGGAGGGCAGCTGAACTGTCACTGAAATCACAGAGCTGGAACATGGTCAGTTATCTTTGGATGCATAACACAGCACTGCAAAACCTAAGGACTTAAAAAGACAGTCCTTTATCATTTCTCAATGTTCTGTGGGTTGCTGGGGTGTATGTTTGGCTTCACGGGGGTCATCTGGGGTCACTCAGGGGCCCGGATTCCTTTTAGTGGGGGAAACAACAGAGTTGTCTTTTGAAGACATAAGCAGTCCCGCTGAGGAGGAAGCATGTACGCCTTGCTCTGCCTGTAAGACCTTACGTGACCGGCCGCCAGACTCGGGCTCTTTGCCTTTCCTTCCTTGGAAGCAGCAAGTATGCCCTCCCTCAGTGCCTCTGTACTTGCTGTGGTCTCTGCTTGCAGGGCTCCTCCCCTAGATCTTTGCGCAGTTGGCTTTTTTTTTCCTTTAAGTTTTATGTATTTTTTGGTAATCACTACACCCAGTGTGGGACTCAGACTTGGCAACTCCGAGATCAGGAACTGGATGGTTTTCTGCCTGAGCCGGCTAGGTGCCCCTGCGCACTTGGCTTTTTTTTTTTTTTTATCGTTTAGGGTTCTTTCAAATGTCACCCACTCACTAGTGCCTTCTTTGATCCTCCATCCTCACCCTCCCCCGCGCTCTCCCAGGATAGTCCCACTCAATTCACTGTAGTTCATTTATCTTGTTTGCTTCTTGCTTCTCTTGTTTATTTCTGTCTCTGCCTCTCGAGTACAAATTTCCTCAGAGCAGGACCTTTATCTGTCTTGCTTTCCACTGTGTTCTTGGTGCCTAGAAAACACGTCACATAAAAGGAAGGGACAAAATATTATTGATGAGTGGATGAGGAATCATGGATGCACCAAAGGAGGGGAGGGGTGAATAGGTGGAGCACCGATGATTTTTAGGGCGTGCAGCTGCTCCGTATGATATAATGATGGATACATGTCATTATCCATTTGCCTAAACCCATCGCCTGGACAACACAGGAGTGACCCCTACTGTAAACTGGACTTGGGGTGATGGTGATGTGCCAGTGTGGGGTCGTCAGTTGTAACATGCTCCTGTCTCATGTGGGATGTTGGGGGGGGGGCGGGTGTTAACGGGAACTCTGTGTACATTCCTCTCAGTTTCTCTGTGAACCGAAGACTGCTCTAAAGAATAAAAGTGTTTTTTCTTTTTTTTTTTAATAGTGCACATCCATTGGGAAGCAGTCTGAGCAGTATAGACGTACATATAAAATCCAGAGGATTATACCCACACCTCCTGTACCCCAAGCCCTCTCTGTTATATCCACGCCTCCTGTGTTGACTGGCTGGGAAGCCGTGGTGCCTTTCGTGGGAAAGGTGAGATTGAGAGGCAGAATGGGGAAACTGGGAGCTCTGTGTTAGAACTCGGGCCCCCGGCACGCTTCCCGGAGCGCTGAGTGCCAAGTTGGCTCTCCGTGTCTGGATCCCGGGGTGAGCGCCGAGCTGGGAGACATGACTGGGTGGCGGCGGCCGCGGATCGTTGTTCCTTCAGCCTGTGGCACTGGCGGAGGTCCACACACCTAGGCTGTAGACAGAAGAGGGGTGACGAGCGACGGGAGCCTGTCAGCGTTTGAGATCAGAGGGAGAGCCACACCAGGGAAGGAGGCAGGACACCGCAGAGCAGGACCAAGCGAGGCGTGCCTGGAAACCTGGAAGGCCCCCAGATAAAACACAGAAGTTGAGATAAAGAGGGACTCGCGCTTTTCGGCACAAGTATGGCCCGTTTTATCTGCGAAACCTGGCAACCCAAAGCTGGAAGACGAAGGGTGTGACGTCATCTCGGGCTTTCCACGGTGACGCTACAGGCCAGGGCTGCCTGCTGGGCCTGTGCTGCTCGTGATGAGCCCCCAGCCGGTTCCCTGGAGCCTGGAGCCATTGTGGATCCTGGATCGGTTCTTGTGATATTGCAGGAAGCGCCTCGGCAAAATCGTCAGGGAACTTTGGAGAGCAAGATTTACCAGTCACAGGTCCTGGAGGGTCCGCGGCACGCTCGAGGGCCACACAGCCACACAGTGCAGCCTCAGGTAGAGAGAGAGGGAGGGTGTGCGGGGCCTGGGGCTCTGCATTCACTGCGGTGGGATAACGAGGGTTTCATGGGTTCACTGTTTATCGGACGGCGTAAAACAGGAGAGCGGGAGGTGGGGTCAGGGAAGGGAGAAGCAGAGTCCCTCGGGCAGTCCGTGATCTGGGTTCCCGAGGACTTGCTGAAAGGGGAGCCTAATGGGTGTGGGGGCCCTGGCTCCTCGGCTGATTTGCTAGGAGCTGCCCTTGATACGGATGCTTCACATACGGACACCTCGGCGGTCAAAGGCTTCTTGCCGCGCACACACTAAGCTCCAGGAGAAACAGAAGCAGCCCCAGCACCGTTAACATCGCCTCTGTTCCAGGAGTGCTGAATACTGGAAAGCTCCAAAGGAGGGTCTGATGCGGGGGAGGTGGCTGGAAGGTCTTAAGGGCTTTAGCAGGAAGGTATTTGTCAGAGTTCCAGCGGATATAGCAGGAAGGGGCGAGCACCAGCACAGCCGGTTTCGGGAATGAGAGCGGGGCGTCGTCCTTGACGGTCAGCAGCTCTTCTGTGCAGGCTGGACCGAACCCTATCAGGAGGGAAGAGAAGAGATGAAAAGGAGCAGGGACTAAAGTCACACGCAGGAGGGGTGGGCGGCGCACTGCGGGAGCAAGTTTGTGGGGAGGCGACGGCCGGCAAGTCTCGAGTCCATAGTGAACCTGGCTGAGACGCTGGGCACCCTGAGGTCTGTGGGGGTTGTTTGGCATTGTGCGGGTGACTGCTGGCCTTGGCAAGGGCCACGTGTGCAGGGAGGAGCCGGATGGGTGTTGAGCACAGAGGCAAGGGACATAGAGACAGTGGGGACGTGTCTCTTTCGTTGTGTCCTGAAGGGAAGGAGAAAAATGGGGTGCAGGCTGGAGGATGGCTTGGGGTCAGGGGAGCTTGTTAGAGGGACAGATTCTAGAGCAAGGTCCTGTTTGTCAGAGGATCCCGCAGAGGGAGCGGGGAGAAACTGAAAAGGCAGGAGAGGAGACCCTTGCCGGTGCTTGTTCTTGAGAAGGCCAAGGTGGGGGCTCCGGGGCCCAGGGGAGAGGCTGGCTGTCTCATCACCTTTAACCTGCGTCTCCTCTGCTGTGCAATGGGGGCAGTGACAGACCTTCCCGGGATTTGTGAGGGTAAAGGGTATAAAGGACTGCTGCATGGGTCCTGGGTAGCTGTGCTTATTTATTTATTAATTTATTTAGAAGAGATTAAGGATGAGGCACTGCAGGGACCCAGGGACTGCCTCCCCCCCCCCCCAAACCCTGTTCTCCTAAGTGTCCTTTCCCCCTTGGCTTCCAAGGGAGCCACACAGAATAGCAGAATGGGGACCCGAGACCCTATTGACAGTTCTGTATGTGGCTCCTGATGAGGTTTTTGCGGTGATGGTGGGGCTCGTGGGGTCCGGAGCCGACGGCCAAGCAAGAATTCTTGAAGACGTCTTGGTGCACAGAGGTGATTTTATTGAAGCACGGGGACCATGAGGAGAGACTGGGGGAGGTGAAGTCCAGGGCAATTTCCAGTGAGATTTTCATATGCTGAAGAAGACTCACAGGGTACTGGAGGCCTAGCCATTTTCAGTCTAAGGTTTATTTTCCTTCTAGTAAAGCATTAGCATGAAGACAGCAGGGGCTCCTGGAGAAACAGTTAGTCTGCCAGCCTCAAGTCACTGTCAGCGGGCTGCAGGGTGTGAGGAAATTCAGTTGTGCCGTCTCCTTCTGCCTCGGCTTCCCGCATCAGCTCCCAGGGGTGGTCGGACTGCGACCCTTCCCCTCCCCCCGGCCCCATTCCCCGCCTCCCCACTGTGGCCAGGCCTCCTGTGTGGGCCTGACTCAGGTTACCAGTGTTGCTGCACAGAATGTGGGGGATTTATAAAGGGTTGGTTGGTTTGCCTCAAGGGTTCAGGCTTGGAGGGTCTAGGGCAAGCCAGCCACTGGGAAGGGGGAGCGTGGGTCTCAGTCCCAGTGAGTGACCCGGGCCTGGCGCAACCAGGTGAGGGTGAGCTCTGTAGGGACAGGACCAGGGCAGGAGCCCGGGAGCTTCCTCTGTAGCAAGAGGAGCGGACCTTTCCTGTCCTGCTGCTGGGCGGCTGCAGAGCCTTCAGGAGGGTCGAGTCCTGTTGGAAAACATAATTCCCATTGTTTTTCTGGTAGTTTATGGCCTTTTGAGCTGAGCAAAGCCTGCCTTCGCCCAGGTTCTGTAGCCTCGTGTGCGCGGACCCTTCCTACCTTCAGAGGTGGCCCCGAAGATGTGAGGCTTCCCGTGTCCTGCTTCCTCACTGCTCACGGCTCGGGCTGTCCCCACGGGCCCAGCATCTCTGCTGACTTAATAAAACTGCCGCACACAGTGCAGGGCCCCGGCCCCCTGCCATTGGGGAGGGGGTTCCAGTGGCCTTGGGCTGGGTCGGAGTTCAAACACGTAGCGACTTGTCCCTGCTGTGTGCTTTCCTCTGCTCTTCCTCCGTGTATCAATCCTCTGGAAAGAAAGGTTTTACCAACCACTGGGCGAACTGTCAAGGATGACCTTGAAATTACATAAAAATTATATCTGTGCTAAAAATAGGGGTGGGCAGATGTATACATTTTATTAAATAAAACTACCCAGGATCTAGGACATTGATTTAAAAAAAAATGGCATGCGCGCGTGGGTGTGTGTGTGTGTGTGTGTGTGCACACACTGGAAGCATATATAGTAGAAAGAGCATTAGTTGTTTGGGGGCAGTAACATTGTCAGTGGTTTAAACTTCCTCATTTATATCCTTTTGTGCTATCTAAATTATATTTCTTATGAACCCATTAGTTTTGTGTTAAGGAGCAATCAGGTTATTTTTATTTTGGAAAGGAGAGTACTTGGGGATGGCCCTTCAGGAGTAGAATAGATGGATTGTGGTTCCACAGCATGGCTGAATGTAAGAATCTTTTTTTTTTTAAATTTTTTAATGTTTTATTTATTTCCAGGAGAGAGAGAGAGAGAGACAGCGTGAGCAGGGGAGGGTCAGAGAGAGAGGGAGTCACAGACTCTGAAACAGGCTCCAGGCTCTGAGCCGGCAGTCAGCACAGAGCCCGATGTGGGGCTCGAACCCACAAACTGCGAGATCAGGACCTTAAGCGAAAGTCGGACGCTTAACCAACTAAGCCACCCAGGCGCCCCTGAATGTAAGAATCTTAACGTCAGGTGAAAGACGCCAGACCTGAGAAGAATAAGTGGAATGTGACTTTATTGATCTAAATTGCAGAGTAAGCAAAACACCATTGTTTAGGGCCGAACTCTTAGTTGGTAACACTAAATAAGGATGAGACAGAAACTGAGGAGTGATTCTCTCCAGAGGCTGGACAGTTGTCCCCTGTGATAGGGCCTAAGGGTTGTCGTTAGGGGCTCAGAGAGCTTGGGAAGCTGCTAGTGTTCTGCTTCCTGACCTTATTGCATAAATAAGTCATGGATTTTTTTATTGAGATACAAATCACGTACCATAAAATTCACCCCTTCAAAGTGTATAATTCAGGAGAACAGAAGATACATGTTCACACAAAGACCTGCATATGTATGTTCATATAATAAGCAAAAAAGTAAAAAAAGTTCAAGCACCCATCACCTGGTGAACAGATAAGCCAAATGTGTTCTATCCATATTTGGCCATAAAAAGGAATGAAGTAGTCATTCATATAACAACGTAGATGAACCTTGAAAACATTATGCTAAGTGGTGTCTTACGTGTTTTTGACTTGCATTTTCCCAACAATGGATGTTGAGCATCTTCTTTTTTTTTTTTTTTTAATTTTTTTTTAATGTTTTATTTATTTCTAGGAGAGAGAGAGAGACAGCGTGAGCAGGGGAGGGTCAGAGAGAGAGGGAGACACAGACTCTGAAACAGGCTCCAGGCTCTGAGCCGGCAGTCAGCACAGAGCCCGACGCGGGGCTCGAACCCACGAATCGCGAGATCATGACCTAAGCGAAAGTCGGACACTTAACCGACCAAGCCACCCAGGCGCCCCTTGTCTTTCATTTTTGAAGGATCCTTTTTCTCCTTATCAGAACTCTTGGTTGAAGGTCTTATTCTTCCAGCATTCTGATCATGTCATCCCACTGTCTCTGGCCTCCATGGATTCCAGTGAGAACGAAGCTGTTAATCTTCCTGAGGGGCCCTTGTGCGTGAAGAGTTGCTTCTCCCCGCTTTCGAGATTCTCTCTCTGCCATTGACTTTCGGCAGATTGATAATGTGTCTTGTGGTGGATCTCTGTGTTCTTGTATTCTACTTGTCATCTGTTGAGCTTCTTGACTATGGGAGTTTGTCTGATCATATTTGGAAAGCTTTTGCCCATTGTCTTTAAATACTCTTTTGGACCCCTTCATTCTTTCATTCCTTTCAGAGACTCCCGTCATACGTGCTGGCGTGCTTGATGCTGTCCCAGGGGCCCTGAGGCTTGTTCATTTTTCTTCATTCTGTTTTCCTTCTGTTCTAAAGATTGGATGCTTTCTGTTGACGTGGCTTTCAGTTCAGTGGTTCTTTATTCTCCCTGCTCCGACCAGCCGTTGCACTCCCCTAGGGCCATTATATTTTACAACTCCCGAATTTTGATTTGGTGCTTGTTTAAAATAGTTTTTATCTCCATCTTGATATTCTCCATTTTGGTGAGACTTCGTTTTTGTACTTAATTTAGTTCTTCAGGGATGGTTGTTTAAGTTCTTTGTTTACATTAAAAAAAATTTTTTTTTTAATTTATTTCTGAGAGAGAGAGAGACAGCAGGATCAGGGGAGGGTCAGAGAGAGAGGGAGACACAGAATCTGAAACAGGCTCCAGGCTCTGAGCTAGTTGTCAGCACAGAGCCTGACACGGGGCTCGAACCCAGGAACTGTGAGATCATGACCTGAGCTGAAGCCGAGCACTTAACCGACTGAGCCACCCAGGCGCCCCTGTTTAAGTTCTTTGAACATATTTGAAATAGCTGATTTCAGATTTTTGTGTAGTTAGTCCAAAATCTGGGCTTCCTCAGGACATTTTTTATTAATTGCTTTTTCCCCATGCATCGATCATAGTATCGTGTTTTCTTGTGTGCCTCCTATTTTTTGTTGAAAACTTGACGCTTAAGATTCTAGAATATGACGACTCTGGAAATATGTCTCAGGGCTTCTTGTTATTGTTGCTTTCTGTGGCTGTTGTTGCTTTAGTGACTTTTCTAAGTGACTTCTTTGCTCGTATTCTGTAGTGTACTTAGCCACCGAGGACTCTGTGGTCAGCTAACACTTGGTTAGAGATTTCCTTAAATGCCATGAGTGGAACTGATGAGTGCCCCAGTCTTTGCCTGGAGGCTCTGTGCATGTTGGGGCAAGTAGTGCTGTCATTAACAGTCCTGCCTTAGCCATCACCTTCTGCTTCTGCAGAGCCCCCAGATCAGAGCTTCGGGCCTTCTCAGCCCTTCCCTGAGCATATGCCAAGCTCACTATGAGTGGCCTTCTAGATTCCTAGGAATTTTTAGAACCTTTTCAAAATTTAGGCATCTCATTCCCCAGCTTTTGCTTTAAGCTTTTGGTTTCTGTATTATTTACCCCAGCTGTAACCCACTGCCTCAGGCACCTGTGAAGTGCATATAACTGTTTTCAACAAATGTCCCCCAAGGAGAAGGCTTTTTACACTAAGTGAATTTTATAAGTCAGGTGAGGGGCACTGAGATGGCTCAGTTGGTTAAGCTGCTGACCTGGGCTCAGGTCATGATCTCACGGTTAATGGGTTCGAGCCCTGCGTCAGGTGCTGGGCTGACAGCTTAGAGCCTGGAGGTGCTTTGGCTTCTGTGCCCCTCTCTCTGTCTCTTTCCCATTCACGGTCTGTCTCTCAAAAATAAATAATCGTTAAAAATTAAAAAAATAAGTCAGGTGAGATACAGATAGCCTGTAAGTGGCATTTTCCAGTGAGCCACCTGATAGGTCAAATAATGACAATTCTTTGAGAATGAGGCTTTGAAAGAGCTCCAGCCCATTCTGCTCTCTCCAGACTGTTGGATTTTAAGGGTGGTCTGGAGCCGGAGAGCAGGGGTGGGTCTAAGGCCCATTTAAAGCATCACAAACACCATGGACACAACAATGTTGCCGTTCTTGCTGAGAATTCAGCATTTTAAAAAAAATAACTACTCCTGCATTGCTCCAAGCCTTTGGTTAATTTCCAGAGTTCTGAAAAAGTGGATTCTGACATTTTTTGCTAGCTCTCTTGTTCTTCTGGTGAGGAACCGATTTTCAGAGTTCCCTATACCACCAGATTTGCTGACTCTGATTCATAAATACTTACTGCTCTCTTCTGTGATATGTTATTTTTCTCAAACATGTGCATAGTAAAGAAAAACTGTTTAAATTGCGGTTGTAGGAGACTCTGTGGAGTAGGCCCCGAGCAAGGGGCTGTTGATTGACTAAATGTGTCCAGCCTCTGCTGGACAGAAGGGCCTGGGGGCTTACAGGGTATCAGCAGTACAGGAGTCAGGAACTCTGCTGATCAGCCACTGTCCTTTGTGTCTCCCAGGGTAAGGCTGCCGGGGGCTCAGCTCTGCTCACATGGATGGGACAGAGACCCGACAGCGGAGGCCAGAGGAGCTGGCTCTGCCACACACCTTCAGCCCTGGAAGACTCTCCGGAGGCTCAGAGGATGGACCTGCGATTGTGTCTGAGAGCCACAGGGTGGTCCCTAAACCCCTGGGCTCTGAGTTCAGCAAGGAGACTGCCTTGTCCATTGGCCTTGAGGTGATGGTGCCCTTCCTGTTTGCAGGGCTGGGACTGTCCGGGGCTGGTGTGCTTTTGAACTATTTCCAGGTAAGAGGGAAATAAATGGGAATGGTGGTGGTGGGCGCACCACGGAAGGCCATCTGTGAAGAGGAGGCCCCTATACTTTGAGTTCAGCTTGGGGGATAAGGGGCAGGGCCTCCCTTTCTTAAATACCACTTTCTACAAGTGGGGCAAGATTCTTTTAGTTACTGGTAACCGGGACTAAATTTAACCCAGGTTAAGCTTTAAAAAGACAACTAATTAGCTCATATCATTGAAATTCGTAAGGGGTTTGCTTTCCGGCATGGCTTAAATGATTCTCAGGGTGCTGGCTTTTTCTCTCCCGCTCATCTAGGTCTTATTTCAGATAGGATTCTGTACCTAGACACGAAGATGGCCCTTGGCATTTAATTTTAACTCAGTACGTACGTTCTTAGAAAAAAGAGAGCTCTCTGCCAATGTCCACATCCGTCTCTAAAAAGTGATCCCGATGCCAGGCGTCCACTCCGCTTGCAGTGACTGTCCCCTGAGGGAGGACGTTCTCCGGTCGGCTGGCCCGACACTACATTGTCATCACTCGTGGAGGGGCGGCAGCCCTGCCAGCGACAGAGTGAGGAGCTGGGACTTAGCCGTCAGACAAAGAAGTTCCCCAGGTGCCCTGCCTTTCCTGTTCTTCTACCATCATTCCTTTCGTTGGTGTGGTCTTCAGAAGTCCCCCCTGGAAAGGCAGAGTACCTGTGAATATTCCAGGTCCTAACTGGCTGGGTCTCTCCTATTAGTTAGCAGTCAGCGGAGAACAGAGGCTTAGAGTGAGGCAGGCAGGGAGAGGCGGGGCTGACGTCTGTGACAGTTCCTGGGCCGTGCCTCACTCAGCGCTCCAGGGACTCTGTGCCTGGGAACTTAGGCCCTGCCCCTCATAGATTTAAGTCCCAGTTCTACCACTTAGCAGTAAGGCTGGTGGTTGAAATGAAAAGAACAAAAAACAAAAAACTTTTGTTTATTTATTTTGAGAGCGAGTTGGGGAGGGGCGGAGAGAGAGAGAGAATTCCAAGCAGGCTCTCCACTGCCAGCACAGAGCCTGACGTGGGGCTCAAACACAAAAACCAAAAGATCAAGACCTGAGCTGAAGTCAGACGCTTAACCGACTGAGCCACCGGGCGCCCCTAAATTAAAAAAAAAAAATTTGAAGTCTGAATTTCTCTTTTCTCTTGAAAACTTGGCAGCTCTCACAGCACTGGCCCACTTCTCTCACAGCACAGCCGGTGGTCGCAGCCACATCTAGGGGGCCGTGTTCTCTGGCTGGCCGGTCCCCACCATTCCATTGCATTCCATCGCCTGCTTTGCCCTGGCCTGTCTGGAGTCCTCAGAGACCCTTCCGGTACCCAGCTGTCTGGTTCCTCATGACCTCACAGCACCAGTGACCGCCAGCTCGCCCCAGAGTCCACCTTGCCCGGCCCCAGGGTGGCTGTCTCTTAAAGCAGAGCCTCTGTCCCGGGCTGATGCAGTCCCTGCCCCCATGTTTGGTCTCTCTGTGCCTTCCAGACCCCTCAGCCCTCTCCTTTGTCCTGGTGACCTAGCCCACAGCCTTTTTTTTTTTTTTTTTTTTTAATTTATTTCTAGGGGAGAGAGAGAGAGAGACAGCGTGAGCAGGGGAGGGTCAGAGAGAGAGGGAGTCACAGACTGAAACAGGCTCCAGGCTCTGAGCCGGCAGTCAGCACAGAGCCCGACGCGGGGCTTGAACCCACGAACCACGAGATCATGACCTAAGCGAAAGTCGGACGCTTAACCGACTAAGCCACCCAGGCGCCCCTGAATGGCATTCTTTTTTTTTTTTTAATTTTTTTTTATGTTTTATTTATTTCTGGGAGAGAGAGAGAGAGACAGCGTGAGCAAGGGAGGGTCAGAGAGAGAGGGAGTCACAGACTGAAACAGGCTCCAGGCTCTGAGCCGGCAGTCAGCACAGAGCCCGACGCGGGGCTTGAACCCACGAACCACGAGATCATGACCTGAGTGAAAGTCGGACGCTTAACCGACTGAGCCACCCAGGCGCCCCAACCTAGCCCACAGCCTTCTTTACGTGGTCAGTCAGCACTGCTGTAGCCTCCAGAGCACCTCACCCCGGCCTCCTCACCGCCCTCCTCACTTCAGGTGCTGTTCCCCGCAGTCCATCCTCGGTACCACTGATTTTCAAGATGCCTATTTTATTGAGTGCTCCTGCCAGTATGGTGTCACTGGGGCAGGTACCCTATACACACCTCCCACTTACATATTTGTACATACACCCATGCATATCACCCCCAAACATTCGCACATTGGTTTCGAGTGTACACATGCGGGTTTATAAATTATATATGGAGAGGCAGTATAATGGTGAACTGAATTGCTTGAGAGCCCGGACTCTGGAGCTAGTCTACCTGGGTTTGAGTCTGACCTTCGTCACTTGCACAAGTTGCTCTTTGCTCCCCTGTTTTCTCTTCTGTACATTAGAACCGGGCCCAGAAGGCGGTTACGTGGTCTGTGAAGCGCTGGTTACAGTTAGTACGGAAGCCTGTTATTCCTATAGTCGTTGACGTTCTGTCACATGCAGTGTGACAGAGAGAGAGAGAGAGAGAGAGAGAGAGAGAGTGAGCAGGGAGGGGAAGAGGGAAGGAGAGAGAGAGAATCCCAAGCAGGCTCTACCCTGTCAGTGCAGAGCCCAGTGTGGGGCTTGGTCCCACAAACTGTGAGATTATGACCTGAGCTGAAACCCAGAGTCGGATGCTGAGCCACCAGGTGCCACTGGTTCCTCCGTCTTAAGCACAGGGAACCTTTCCTGGGCACCCCCAGTAAAACTCCCCAACTTGTCACTGGCAGATTTGGACATGTCCTACTTGGAAGCCAAAAACTGGCAAAGGAATGGAATGGCCATCATTGGCTTGGCTTGACTGAAGCGAGGAGAAGGTCCCCTGCGCTGTGGATGGGTTCCTGTGTACAGTTGGGTTCGTTCGGGAAAGGTGAAAACGGGCAGTGGTGCCACGCTGGCTCAGCTGTCTAAACCCAACGGCACTGGACAGAGATCTGTCCGCTGCATGGTAACTTCCGGCCTCACGTAGGCTGCCCCCTCCCTGTGCCTTCCTTCCCGCCAACCCCAAGGGAAGAGGCCTCCCCTCACCCTTCCCACCCCGTTTCACATGGACAGCCTTTCGTGGAGCCTTTCCTGAGGTGCTGGCCCCGCCAGCATGCCACCTTCTTTGGATGTTGGGATATTTGCCATTTCCTTTTACCATGTGCACTGATCTGATGCTCTCCCTGGTTTGAATGTGAACTCCCTGAGAATAGAGGCTGTGATTCACGGTTCCAAAGGTTCACAAATATGCACAGGGACGAGGTCCCCCGTCTATACAGAGGCAGCCACGGGGCCCCAGTTGGTTGTGTTTTCTCTTAAAGATATTTTATGCATGTACAAACAAATGTCTATATCTGTTCATATGTCTCTGTACATTTTGCTCACTCTTTCTTTCAAGTTTTGGCATAGACAAATTGTTGACTTTTGCTTTTTTCACATCATAGTTTAGTATACAGTATATTCACTAAACAATATATTCACCTTACAGTAATCTTTATAGATGCATTAAAAGTGTCCCTTTTTAAAAAATGGTCATTCAGTATTCCAGCATACAAATATACCAGAATTTATTTAACCATTTCCCTTCTGATGCGCTTTCAAACTTAATTTTTAGTTTGCTAGGGCTGCCATAACAGAAGACCATAGACTGAGCAGCTTAAACAACAGAGCGTTGTTTTCTCTCCGTTCTGGAGGCTGGAAGTCTGAAATCAAGGTGTCCTCAGGGCTGGTTTCTTCCTACGCTGCTCTATGGCGTGGAGATGGCCTCACATGGTCATCCCTCTGTGCGTGTCTGCGTTCAAATTTCCTTTTCTTGTAAGGACACCAGTCATATTGGGCTAAGGCCCACCCTTATGACCTCATTTTAATGTAATACCTCTTTAAAGGCCCTGAAATACAGTCACATCCTGAGGTGCTGGGGGTTAGGACTGCGGTTTGGGGAAGAGGGGCATGATTCAGCTCATAACAGCACTTTAAAATAGTCTTACTAATGAAAAGCTGCAGTAAGTAATCTTTTTTAAAAAATTTGTGTGTGTATGTATGTATGTATGTATTTAGAGAGCAGGGGAGGGGCCGAGAGAGAGAGGCAGGGAGAGACAAGCCCCCAACTTGGGGCTTGACCTCCCGAACCGTGAGATCATGACCTGAGCCAAAATCAGGAGTCAGGGTGACTACCTACTGAGGCCCCTGCCGGCCCTTGCAGTGAACAGTCTTGATGTTGGCTACACGCCGGAGTAAATGAGTGGGGTACCCATTGCGAGTACAAGTGCTGGCTCGGAAGGTCATGCATTTGATAGGGTCACCGAATCGCCCACCCTGGGGGTGGGACCAGTTATGCTCCCTCCAGCACGACAGTGCAGATGCCAGCACTCAGCAATGTACTTTATTTTCAGTGAACTCTTTGATCTTTAACAATCCGATAGATGGGAAATTGCATTTCCTTGTACACCGTATTAGCTTCTATTACTATGCAACATGTCATCCCCAAATTTAGCAGCTTAAAATGGCACTCGCTTATTACCTCATGGGAGCCGTGGGCCAGGAATCCGGGAGACCTACGCTTTCTGCTTCCAGATCTCTCAGGAGGCTGACGTCTGGACAGCCGTGGCGTCACCCCAGGGTGCTCGTACGGTCGAGGGAGGGATTCAGCTCCCAGCAGGTTGTTGGACTGAGGGCCTCAGTTCCTGGCTGGATGTTGCCCAGAGACCACCCCGCAGTTCTTTCCTCACTGGACGTCTCCAGCCCGGCAGCGTCATCAAAGCGTGCGGCCTAAGAAGGAAATAGTCTGCTTGCAAGACAGAAACCACTGCCTTTTGTAAATCTTACCGCAGAAGCAGCATCTTTCTTCTCTTGGCTGGAAGCAAGTCACTGAGTTCAGCCCACGCTCCAGGGGAAGGGATTACGCTGCGTGCCAGTGCAGGAGGCAGGGACCCTTGAGGAACAT